CAGGTTGTTATTAATAACACCAAAATCCATGCCTTACACGCATGGGGAATGTCATCATGAATCCTAAGAAAGGATATGCCGACGCCTAACACACGTTGCCGGTTTAGTCTTTCTCCGTGGAAAAAGACATCAGAGTTCGATTCTGGGGTATTCTATCCTGAAACCTAAGTAAGGATAAGTCTGCGCCTAACCCGCGTAGCTGGTTAGTTCTTAACCGTTAAAAAGAACACCCGCCCACATATTCAACATTGTGGCAGGTTATTATTAATAACACCAAAATCCATGCCTTACACGCACGGGGAATTTCATCCTGAATCCTAAGAAAGGATATGCCGACGTCTAACACGCGTCGCCGGTTTAGTCTTTTTCCGTAAAAGAAGACACCGGAGTTCGATTCTGGGGTATTTTATCCCGAAGCCTAAGTAGGGATAAGTCAGCATCTAACACACGTTGTCGGGTAGCCTATTCTCATGACAATGGCGGAGTCTACGTATTCGAAGTCGTAGCGCTAAGTCTAAGAGAATTCACTCTCTTAGCACAACGTTACATGCGGAACGGATTTAGACAATCCGCATGCTAGCCCGACTCAAACGGTAGTCGGTAAAGGCTCATCAAACCCGTTGATGGCTGGGAATTTGCCAAAAATTCTATAAGTGCGAGTCATTGATGCATCAGCTCTGTTAGTTGGTCTCGTGACTCGATTATCCAACAACATTAAAATAAGATCCACAAATGCAGATGAATCAGCTTTAACAGTTGGTCCTGCAGCCCCGACACTTGGGACCACCATGCTCCAATACCTTAAGAGCTTAAACTGTGTATACTCCAGCAAACGTACGAGTATAAACTGTGTTAATGGCGATTCGAAACCCTAGGGTCAACACCGGTCAACGCGTAACCCTAGGTCAACGCCAGTCAACGCATTGCGATCAAAAAGTCAACATTCAACGTTAGAAACCCTAGGGTCAACGCCGGTTAACGCGTAACCCTAGGTCAACGTCAATTAACGCGTTGCGACCAAAAAGTCAACATTCAACGTTAGAAACCCTAGGGTCAACGCCGGTCAACGCGTAACCCTAGGTCAACGCCAGTTAACACGTTGCGACCAAAAGTCAACATACGGTGATCTGAAACACTAAGTCAGCACAATATGACAGAGATAGTCAGTTCAAAGTCAACTCAATAACACGAGCAAAACTCAACTCACTGGTGGTAGACTCGAGACTCCGACGACGGCCAGGCGATAAACGCAGCGCCGGAAGGACTTCGGCTATTCGTCAAAGCATTGAATAGACCGAAAATCGAAGGAGCCAAGAGTTGAAGCTAACTATAGGTCCTTTACGCCGACTAAAGGCTGGACCAATCACATCCAAAGTATTCCAGCCTCTTCTATAAAAGAAACGAGTCTGGAACGCTTTGGAGGGGGTATCTGTAGGCATCAAAAATTGCCTATAGGTCTCCACGAACAGCTTCGTGTTAAAGAACGACGATGAACGTCACTATCCGGTTCACAGGAGTTCGATTGATGTCGGTGAATGCTTGAAGTGAATCGACAAGCTACATGAGCTAACAGAATTTTGGAATAACGAAGGTACGGGCTAATCGGGAGCCCCGTGATGTTTACAAAAAGAACAATGTCCTTCGTGTCTCATTCATTAAACAGATGATCTAATCATTGGAGCTTATAAAACTCCTCGTCGTCTTTCCAATGCACTTTGAATCGTTCAAATTCGAGTTCGGATGAAGAAGTTACGGCGAAAACGAACAAACGGGCATAACGGAACGTCTCAGGCTGAACTGGGACACCCGAGATGTCTTGGAACTTGTGGAGCTATTTTGACCATGCTCCGTTTTGAATCTGAAGAAACTCAAAACAGGAAAGTTATATATATTTTTGTCAGATTTCTATCCCATCTTGAATCAGGTCATTTGGAGGTCATATGAGGAAGTTATGACTAAAATAGCGCCGAGACACCCAAAGGTGTCTCGGACTTGGCCGAGACACCCTAAGGTGTCTCAGAACTTGTAGAGCTGTTTTGACCATAATCCGTTTTGAATCTGAAGAAACTCAAAACATGAAAGTTATAGATATATTTGTCAGTTTTCCATCCCATCTGGAATCAGGTCATTTGGAGGTCATATGAGGACGTTATGACTAAAATAGCGCCGAGACACCCAAAGGTGTCTCGGACTTGGCCGAGACACCCTAAGGTGTCTCGGAAGTTGTGGAGCTGTTTTGACCATGATCCCTTTTGAATCTTAAGAAGATCAAAAGAGGAAAGTTGTAGATATTTTTGTCAGCTTTCTATCAAATCTAGAATCAGATCATTTGTATGTCATATGAGAAAGTTATGACTAAAATAGCTTCGAGACACCCAAAGGTGTCTCGGACTTGGCCGAGACACCCTAAGGTGTCTCGGAACTTGTAAAGCTTTTTTGACCATGATATGTTTTGAATATGAAGAAACTCAAAACAGGAAAGTTATAGATATTTTTGTCAGCTTTCTATAAAATCCAGAATCAGATCATTTGGATGTCATATGAGGAAGTTATGACTAAAATAGCGCCGAGACACCCTAAGGTATCTCGGAACTTGTGGAGCTGTTTTAACCATGATACGTTTTGAATATGAAGAAACTCAAAACAGGAAAGTTGTAGATATTTTTGTCAGATTTCCATCAAATCCGGAATCAGATCATTTGGATGTTATATGAGGAAGTTATGACCAAAATAGCGCCGAGACACCCAAAGGTGTCTCGGACCTGGCCGAGACACCCAAAGGTGTCTCGGAACTTGTCGAGCTATTTTGACCATGATTCGTTTTGAATCTGAAGAAACTCAAAACATGAAAGTTGTAGATCTCTTGGTTAGCTCTCCAATATATCTTGAATCACTCAAATCCGAGTTCGGATGAAAGAATTAGAGCTAAAATACTGAAGAGGGTACAGACTGTCTCGCACAGGTGCGAGACACCCCGAGCTGTCTCGCACTTGGGACGTGTTTTTGACGGTTTTCGATCAGTTTTAACCACCCCATTATCCCCTCAAGCCTATAAATACAAGCCTTAGGTCTTATTTTTTCAGATCTGGAATTTTAGAGAATTGGCGAAGCCCTGCCGGAGTGAAGAGTGATCGAGCACTTCAACACAAGAGAGTTTCTTCGTCAGATCTACATCACTCGCATCCGATCCTTAGTCTTATCCCATTGTGGTAATTCTAAGAAGAGCAATTATCTCGTTTTTATCGAGATAAGTGCTTCAAGTTTCTAGATCTCCTCGCGGATCGACAAAGCTCTGGACCAGATCTGATTGCCAGGTAGTCCACGGATATCGAAATCCCCGTCACAGGCTAAAGACCCACGCAAGCAAGAGACGACGAACGGATCTTGTGTTTATTTTCAAGAAAGTTGTAATCTTTTTATTCTTTGTTGTTTGAATTCATTTGTAGCGTTTAAAGTTTAATGAAATCAATGATGAAGGCAACTTTCGACGAAAACAGAGGTGAGATAAACACTATTCTCAATACCAGATTTAGGTCTGAATATCGAGGGAACCAACCAACACAAGTAATAACCAATACAATAAGTGAGACACGAGATTTATGTGGTTCGGCAAACTTGCCTACGTCCACGGGGAGGGGTGAAGGGAGATTCCACTATAATGGAGAACACTGAAGACTTGTTCAACCCACAAGTTCATCCCAAAGATGAAGGTTTGATTTTTACCAAAAAGAAGATGACATCTTTCTTATAAAATCTCGCCAAACACTCAATCTTTTCTCTCATCAAGATTTCACCTTTTTCAGATCTGAAAACTCTCCTTTTTCTCTGAAAAACCGCTCTACAAACCCTAGGAAACAAGCTTCCTATTTATACCAAATCCCAACCCAAAACGGATTGGAGGCCCCAAATACGCCTGTCTCAACACCCCCCCCCCGCGCCCCCCCGAAAGCCCCGAGACACCTCCAGCGTTGTTCGGCGCTGCTGGAGATACTGTCTCACTGAGGCACTGTCTCACGCTCATAATTTCCACTTTTGTAGGTTTTCAATTCTCATCTGTTTTAGAGATATGTATGAACTATTATAATATAAAATTGTAAACTTTAAATTAAATCTCCAATATCATTGTCTTCTCTATATATATCCATAACCTTCATGTACTCTCTTTTTTTCCTATTATCTTTCTTGATATGCCCATTGACATTTCAATTTGTAAGCAATTTCTCCCCTTGGATAATTGCTTGTACCAATTTATCTAAGTCTCTTAAATTTTGTTTTAAATTCTAAAGCTTATTATATCTTTGTTGAATGCAATTACTTTTATAAAGCTTTTTATATCTTTGTTGAATGCAATTACTTTTATACTTATTATATATGATGCTTACGAGTATTATTCCAACTCCAATTGTTTTTACAAATAAAACATTTTTTAACTAAGATATTTTAAAGTACTCTTGCCATATTTCTATTCTTCTTTTTTTCTATGTAAGAATATTTATTTCAAGAATTGTCAATTATTTTAAATCTTTTACCGATTGATTCATGTACTTTCTTATATATACCAATTGTGCTAATCTTTTTTCTAATCATGATATTAACCACCTAATTTTTAAATTTAATTATACTCTTCTGACTTCTAAAGAATCCTATTACCTTTTGCTACTTAATAATACTCTTTTATAGGTGTCCCTTACTCTTTATCTCCTATGACTATGGAGTTTGTATCGATTTTTGTTTTTCATCCTTTTGGAAAAAATTAATGTTGTTCCTTATATCAGCTTGGACCATAATTTGTTTTCCACAATACAATAATTACTATAGTGTTATAACTATAGATGTTAGGTCCTATGTATAAATGAAATATTTTGTTAATATAATACAATTTTAAATGTAAATATAATAGAACTTCATTTATTTTCTTATGATTTACCAACTGTTTTACACTACTGATGGAGCCTTTTTTACATTTTGAAGTCTCAAAGTGGACATTTTTATGACTGTATTGATATCTACAAACAACCGGCGTTTGATAATCCTCTTCTGAAATATCACAAACTTCAGGTATGAAATCATAAAATTCTTTAAGCTATACCATTTATTAGTTGAATTTTTTACAGATAACTAATTTATATATGTTAAGCATAAAGGATATTTTATAGACTTTGAAAAGTTTTCCGTTAATCACTTGTATATTAGATAAATAAGAGAGAGAGAGAGAGAGAGAGAGAGAGAGAGAGAGAGAGAGGCTATAAATAAAAGAGAAGTTGTTAGAAAATAGATTTACTCAATTAATTTAAATTAATATTATTTATATGTCTCCCCATGATGTGCACTCCATCAAAGACACATAAATTGGACTAGTTTTGCTAGAAATAAAGCTGAGAGAGGGACTTGGTAAGCATGTCCCCAAGCTGGTACTCAAAAGATATTTTGAAGACTAGATGAGACCTTGTATTGATATTGCAAAAAAATACCGATTTTTTTGCTAATGAAGATATTTTATTCATCAAACTAAATATGAAAGTTGTGTACACCGAGATTTTTCCAGTTCTACAAACTGAAAAAAAACAACTCTATCAACAATACAAGAAAAGGAAATTACTAGGTACTTTCAATTCTACTATTATCACTCTCATTCCAAAAATTCTGAACCCCAAGTGTGCTTCTGATTTCAGACCTATTTCTTGTTGTAACTTGATCTATAAAGTTATAACTAAGATCATAGCTAGTCGTATTCAAAAGGTTCTGGGCAGTTTGATAAATGAATCTCAAAGTGCTTTCGTCAAAGACAGATTAATATCCAGTAACATCCTTTTGGCTCATGATCTTGTTAAGCATTATGGTAGGAAGCAAATATCATCAAGAGCTATCTTAAATGTGGATATGAGAAAAGCTTTCGACACCATCAGTTGGGATTTCATCAAATTCATGTTACAAGGCCTGGGATTCCCTAATACTATGGTCAGGTGGATAATGGAGTGCATTACTACTCCCAAGTTCTCTTTATCTCTCAATGGCTCCCTACATGGTTATTTTAAAGGGGCAAGAGGTCTTCGGCAAGGTGACCCTCTCTCACCATATCTGTTTGTGTTAGGGATGGAATATTTGTCAAGGAGCTTGTCCACACTCAAAAATGATAGATTATTTAAATTCCATCCAAAGTGTTCGAAGCTGGAGATCACGCATCTCATCTTTGCAGATGACTTACTCATGTTTGCCAAAGCTGACATGTACTCTATCTCAAAAATTTTCAACTGCTTTCAACATTTCTGCAGTGTATCAGGACTTCAGGCTAATCTGGCAAAATGCTCTGCATATTTTGGAGGAATTGATGAAAACCTGAAAGCTCAACTTTGTGCACACCTAAAATTCACAGAGGGGACTCTGCCTGTGAGATACTTGGGATTACCTCTCATCTCGAAAAGACTATCTTGTCTGGAATGCTCACCACTAATAAACAAGATCACAGAGCAGTTCTCTAACTGGCAGAAGAAAAATTTCCTGTCATATGCTGGTAGGCTACAGCTTATCAAATCAGTTATTCTTGGTATACAGAATTTCTGGACAAGCAATTTCATTTTGCCTCTGAAGGTTCTGGAAAAGATTGATAGCTTATGTTCATCTTTCTTATGGAATCAAAAAATTCATCTTATATCATGGGCAAATATCTGTCAAGACAAAAAACATGGAGGTTTGGGATTATTTTCTGCCAAGGTTTGGAATCAGTCTGCAGCACTTAAACTTTTGTGGATGATTTATCTCAAAAAGGATTTACTTTGGATTAGATGGGTTCATGGCAATTATCTACATCAGTCCAATATTTGGCAAGTTCAAGCTAAACCCACCGACTCATGGATGTGGAAACAACTACTGAGAGTTAGAGATATGGTGTTAAACAAATTTGAAAACATGGCCAACCTGACAACTATCATGAACAGCTGCCAAATCAATGGTAAACTTCAAATTTCCCACATTTACAGGTGCTTAAATCTTTCAGCTCCTCAGGTTCTTTGGACTGATACTGTTTGGGAGGGTTTGAATTATCCTAAACACTCCTTCATCATGTGGTTAGTATCTCATTCAAGGCTCTTAACTCAAGATAGACTGTGTAGAATGAGGCTCCTTAATACTAACCTATGTGTTCTATGTCAAACACACTCTGAATCCTGTCACCACCTTTTCTTCGAGTGTCAATTCTCTGCTTACATTTGGAATGAAGTCATGGAGTGGCTGAATTTTTCTAGGAGATTTTGCAATTGGGGCCATATACTAGACTGGTATTGTGGTTGCCTCAAAGGTAAAGGTTGGCTAAAAAAGATTAAGAGATTGGCCCTATCTTCAACTGTGTATATAATTTGGAGAGAGAGGAACCTTCGTATCTTTCAAAGCAAAGCTTCAACCCCTGCATCTCTGCTTCGAGCTGTGAAAATTTCCATTTTTACTAAGATCCTGAATGACAGTATACCTTCTCATTTGGTAGAAAGATTAGTGAAGATGTAGTTTGATATTTGTATATTGTAGTTGTTTTTGAGTTTTTCCAGTTTGTTCTGGATAACATGCTGTATATATGACTCTATTTCTCATTTGGTGATGAATAAAGTTCATTTCATTGACCAAAAAAAAAAAAAAAAAAAAAAAAAAAAAAAAAAAAAAAAAAAAAAAAAAAAAAAAAAAAAAAAAAAAAAAAAAAAAAAAAAAAAAAAAAAAAAACAATACAAGAAAAGGAACCTCAGCTATTTACAGGTATTCATAGAGCAAGTAGCCAATCTTTTCATTTCCACTGAGAAAGAGCAGTTGAGGGAGATTGTCATAACATCTACCTTAATCACCCTAATTATTTGATCAATACTCTTAGCTTTCTGATTAAAAATCCTATTGTTTCTCTCAACCTTTGTTTGAAACCTTTCCCTCTTAGCCTACAGCTGAACCAATCCATCAAGGTGTTCCAATCGCAAGCCCTCCATCTAAAGTGAAGTCATTCCATTATTCCATTCCATACATCCTGCGAAAATTTGCATTAAAAAAACAGGTGATTACGTACGTGTTTCAGGAGCTATACCATTGCATAAGCAACATTGTCCATCTTGAATAATTCCTCTCCTTAACAATCGATCTCTTGTGAGAAGCCTGTCATGTACTGCTAGCCAAGAGATAAAACAGTACTTATGTAAACTTAAATTCTCCCATATTGTGCTAAACCACTGCACCTTACTGGAAACTAGGGAAATAGCAGAGTAAAGCTCAGAGAGTTTAATTTTTGAGTTCTTATAACATGAGCTAATAATATTCTTCAAGTTTTCAACACCTCCACAGCTTATGATAGCTTTATCTCTAGCTTTGAGGACTTGTTTCCACATCCAAGAATCCCCTGTTTTGATTTTTACATTCCAGATTGTGCTATCTTTAAGATAGGTGCCATGAATCCACTTTATCCACAACAGTTCCTTATTGATATGAAAATACCATATAGTTCTTAGGGAAGTAGCCAGGTTCCAGGTTAATTATAGCAGAGTATACTCCCAAACCTCCCTGTTTTTTCTCTTTATAAATTTTATCCCAAGAAACTAAGGGAGTTTTGAAAACCTAATCAGTTTTGCCCCATAAAAAGTCCCTGCACATATCGTCCACTTTCTAGAGGACTTTGATTGGCAAGATGTAGTTTGATGTCCAAAAGACTTGAACACCAAAAATAATACTTTTTATGACATGTAATCTCACTGCATATGACAGATTCGTTTGTGTCAGCCATGTCTGAAATTGGCTAGTGATCTTCTTGAAGAGGGGAGTGCAATCTAGGAAAGATAGTCTTTTGCATATCAATGGCATACCAAGATATCTAATTGGCAATTTTCCTTCTGTATACCCAAAGCCATTTTGAATGGTGTTTCTGACTGATTCTTCTACACCCCCATAAAATATTGCACTCTTTGAGAGATTAGCTTCAAGACCTGATATGTTCCCAAAATTTACAATACACTGGTGCATTTTTTGAATTGAATAGAAATCCCCTCTACTGAATAGAAGAAGATCATCAGCAAAAATGAGATGAGTGATCTTAAGCTTAGCACATTTTGGATGGAAATTGAAATTTTTGTCAAGCTTTAGCATGCTCAGGCTCCTGGAAAGATACTCCATGCCAATGATAAACAAATAAGAAGAGAGAGGGTCACATTGCCTTAAGCCTCTAGCACCCTTAAAGTATCCATGAAGAGAACCATTGAGGGTGATAGAATATTTGGGAGAAGAAATACATATCTGTTGGACCCTAGAGGGGGGGTGATTAGGGTCAAAAGGCTCTAATATGCAAATTAAAAACACACAACAATCAATTCACAGTAAATAGATGCAAACAAGGTAAATAAGAGAGGGTTAGGAATCGTTATCCTTGACGCGCGATGTGTTAACGAGGTTCGGCCCTCTGGCCTACGTCCCCGCTCCCCACTCTCGAGGAGAAATCCACTACACAGCCGGTTTGGAAGCCGGAACTTCGTCTACACAGCGATCCCACACGATCTCTCTCACTACACAGTTTGATCTCAACAGATCACTCCCTCACAGTAGATCTTACTCAAGATCTCAACTACACAGCACAAGATAACAGATGTAGAACTCTCTCTTACAAAGCTCCTATGGCAAAGAGAACAAATTTCTGAAGCTGGGAGGTGAGCTCACACAAAACCACAGAGAAGAAAGCAGGACTGATTTGAAAATTTTCTCAGCAGAAACAGAAAATACTCTCTCTGGTTTTCAAACGTTTGGCTCAAGGAAGAAGAAGAAGCAGCTGTAGGGTTTTTATAGAATAGATTAAAACAATTTTAAAACCAAACCCAATCTTCCTATTTAGGAAGATAATCCCCTTTACAGAGTCTTAGCTCAGACTGAGCCAAGCACGAAAGAGTGAAAGCACAACAATCGAAAATAAAAGACCGTTTAAAAAGAAATCTCGTGTTGACTGAAGAAAACAAAAGCGGTCGGCCGAAATATCGTTCGGTCGACCGAAAAACACGTCGGTCGACCGACCGAAAATTTCGGTCGACCGTGAGCTGCTTCAGAAAAATAAG